AAACACCAAGACAGGTCACCGGGGAAAGAAGGGTGAGGGAGCAGGCTGTGGGATATTTGGCCTTGACCCTGGAAACGCTCAAAAGCTGATGCAAAGCAAGCCCAGGGTGAGAGATTGCCTCACTTCACTAGGAATGCTGTCATTCAAAACCTCGGGACCAGGGTCTGGGGAGATGGCTCAGCCATTAAAATAGCTGCCATGCAAGCAAGAGGCCTGGGGTTCAGCTGCCTAGAACTTACGTAAATGCCTGGTGGGCATAGGGGCCCATCTGTAATTCCAGCCTTAGACGTAGGAGACAGAATGTCCCAGAGCAAGCTGGCATGTCCGACTAGCCACAGAGGCAAGCCAGGGGCTTGACTGAGACCCTGCCTTGGTGAATAAGGTGGAGTGATTGAAGAAGGGTTGAGACACTTCAGGCCTTCATATATCCATACACACACAATCCATACACAGGAAAAGATGGAAAGAGAGAAAAAAATCAGGACCAGCAAGTATAGAGAGAGTGGGCCTTCCCAGCTTGTTGACGGGTAAGTGGTATAATGCAGCCGCTGTAGACCAAAAGCTAGCCAGCTCTTTAAAGTAAACAGAATTGTTCTATAGTTAGCAGTTTAACCCCAGGTATATCCACAGGAGGCCTGAGGATTCTTGTTTACTCAAAGGCTGGTATCACCCAAAATCAAGAAAGAAAGAAAAAGGCCACTATCCACACAAATGCTCATCAGTGCACGGAAGCACAGCTGGGACTGTCCTTCCATGCCACCGGATGTTACTCAACAAGGAAGAGGACTACCATTTATGGCGCCACAAGGCCGAGTCAAAGTCTACTCTGAGTGAAAGAGGCTATTTACAAAAGATACATTATTACCAACTTATGAGACCTTCCCAGAAAAGATGTGAAGCCGGAGACACCCGCAAACATACCAGGTACACCTGGGAGTGCAGATGGGGCTGGCATCTCACAGGAGGGCTCTGTTTAGGGGACGGAATGTTCCACCAACTTAGCTGCAGTCATGGGTGTCCAAATCACCAAGTTGACTTAAAAAAATCATTGAATTGTACACCTACAGTGCCGAAAATATATGTTAAGCAAATCGCTCCTCCAAGAAGTGATTTTAAAAAAAAAATTAAAAAGAGGAAGTGGGTTAGAGAAGGCTTATCCTGTTATTTCTTCTCAGAAGACCCCTGGGCAGAAGAGCAGAGTGACCACTTTCTCTCCTTGGCCAGCTCTGCTATTTGGAGTGCTGGGAAGGTGTGTGAGAGCCTCAGAGATCTCTCCAGGGCTAACAGCTACACTTTGATGACTTTTAACAGAGCAGGAGGGATCCTCCCCTGAACACAATTCTACTTCAGAGGCCACTGCTCATTCACTCAGCTGGACACAACCAGCTCGCGACCATCCACTTAAGTACCAGCAGACTAAAAAGCCCTGGCTGTATCTCCCACCCACCCATGTCACGTCTGGAGCTCTGCTCCCCTGCCTTGAGTCAGTATCGTAATGTATTGCTAGGCTGGCCTTGAACCTGCTGTCCTGCGTCAGCATCCTGAGCACTGAGATCGCTACCCTGGACCACTCCTTCACAGTTGTAAACCAAATCGAGCTGCTTCTCTGCAAGCTTGACAGGAATTCTCATTTCCATCCTCACCAAATCTGCCTTCTCCCCAGCTGCACTGGCAAGGAACCCAGAGGTGAGTGTCCCCTGTGGCTCTGACCCTCCACTCTCTGTATTCTTTCCCATCCTACCGCCTCTGTACTTGTACATCCTGCCTTATATGATGCCCTCAGGATGTCGGTCTGTCTGTCTGCTCTACTAGAAACGGGCTCCACAAAGGCTGTTATTGGTACATCTTTCCGTGGAATTTCCTCAGGACATACCCAAGGGCCCAGTTGATAAGGAAGAAGGGAGGGAAGGTGTGGGCTGGCTGAGTTGACAGAGGAGTGAATGAGTGGGCGGGTGGTGGAGAGAGGGTGGAGCTCTGACTGCCTCCTGCCCACCCACGCTCAGAAGTAGTTCAGTGAGTTGGACGGAGGTGGCTGTAGAGTTCAAACCTTAGCTCTCCACTCCCTGGGTTGTGACCTTGGGCAAGTTCCTTGACTTCCTTGACACAAGGAAAGTGAAAATTCGGAAGGCAAGGCCACTTTCAGGGTTCAGCCCTCCACATGGGGGGTAGGGAGCGCGTCCCTGACAGTGCACAGCTGCACAGTTCAGCTCACTGACAGCAGGGTCCTACAGATAGTAACTCCTCTGCTATCCTGCCTGTGAGTTCGTTCAAACTCCGGGCTAAGACCTCGGAAGAGTCACTGTGAAGATCAAGAAAGGAGAAAAAGAAAATCAGAGAAAGGAAAAAGAAAGGCTAGCTTCCCCCAGAAACTCTCTCTCCAGACATGAGGTCCTGGGCTCAGGGAAGCCTAGAGCTGACACCAACCATGGGGGACCCTGTAGGAAAGTCCTCAAACACAGCTGTGGAAAGGAAAACTCTAGACAGACACAAAAAGTGGAATGCTCTTTCTTAACCTCTCAGTCATGTGGTCTACTGTCGGTCCCTTCACAGACACTGGTCAGTGTGAAAGTGGTGGTGTGTCTGAGCCAATCAGGGCCATGGAGGCAGCTCAAAGTAGTCCCCACCCCTCCTTGCAAATGGCTATCTGGATGCACTCCTTTTAGGTTCCAATAAACTAGGTTCAAATACTGGTTCCCATGCCTCATAGGCTGGTGGGGCGGGGGGGGGGGACTGGTTTCCTCTCCTGTGTTGTGGAATATTAGTTAAAGGTGTGATACATTCCTTTATGCTGTGGATCATTTGTTTAATGATGCAAAGATGTGTTGCATTCTTTTATGTTGCATTTGTTTAACTCTGTGAAGCTGTGTTACTTTGTCTGTCTAAAACACCTGATTGATTTAATAAAGAGCTGAACGACCAATAGCTAGGCAGAAGAAAGGATAGGAGGGGCTGGCATGCAGAGAGAATAAAAAGAAGAAGGCGAGAGAAGGAGGAAAGAGGCAGGGGTCAGCCACCCAGCAACACGGCCAGCCAGAGCATAAGAAATAAAGAAAGGTATATAGAATAGAGAATGGTAAAAGCCCAGAGGCAAAACATAGACAGGATAATTTAAGTTAAGAAAAGCTGACAAGAAATATACCAAGCTAGGGCTGGGTATTCATAAGTAAGAATAAGTCTCCATATGGTTACTTGGGAGCAGGTTCCCCAAAAAGTAAAAAACAACAACAACAACAACAACAAAAAGCACTTCTGAGCCACCATCTCTTCATCTGTGAAATGGGAGCAGGCCTGTTGACCAAGGTCTGGGAGGAACTGGTGGCTCCGTTTGGCTCTCCCTCTGTGGGGCTGCTGGGTCGGAGCTGCCTGACTTCTGTCTTCTGAATTCCCAAATGTTTACTCATTGCCCCTCTTCTCCTGAACTTCCCGTTTGCTTGGAGACAAGAAAACAGTCTGAGGAATTTTTCTATTCCACCAGTCAGAGAAGGCTGCTAGCCACATACCAGCTTCATTGTACCTCAAGAAATGGTGAGATCAGAGTCCCCACGCTTTACCGGTTGCCAGGAGCTCACCTGTGCTTTCTCTCAGGGGAGAGGACCCTGGGGCTCAGAGAGGGAAGGTCTCTCCTGTGGGTCCCCAGCTGGGAGATGCATAGCCCCTGCTGGAGACTGGGGGGCTCAGGAGGGGAAAGGCACTGAAGACATGCCATCTCTAGACGCACAAAGTGAGAGATCTGATCATTGACGCAACTCCTGGGCCTGGCCCTCTCTCTCCTTGCTGGTCATGGAGGAGCGCTTATCATGCATGTAATGCTTAAACTGTTTTGAAACACAGACAAATCTTGTTTCTCATGTGTATGTGAATATCTTGAGGGGATCGATGCTGCCGGTGGGTGAGAACTTAGGAGCTGCCTCGAGAGTGACCGTAGGCAGGGCACTGGGTTCAGGTCAGCATCCCTTTCATTGGTGGAGTGTTGGACAAGTCATTTCCCTACAAAGGCCGACTAAGCACTGGCCTGCTGGGTACAAGTGTGGGCACTGAGTGAGGACCAGCGTGTCAGTCTGCCCAGGACAGATATCTTATAAACCAGCTTGTAAGTTCTGAAGAGATGAGAGGATTTGGAGGCAAGTCTCAGGGGATGCTAAGAGCCGCTGTTAAGTTAGGGGAGACACCCTGAACTGGAAAGGGAAGAGGCTGAGGCAGGAGGTTGTCTAGGGTTTCACAGGAATGGTACCTCAGCAGGGCAGGACCAGAAAAATGTATGGAAATCCCACTACCTTGAATTGACTTGAACTTTCAATAATAAAGTCCTTTTTCCTGAAAAAGAAAAGAAAATTAAAGCCGGGCAGTGGTGGCGCACGCCTTTAATCCCAGCACTCGGGAGGCAGAGGCAGGTGGATCTCTGTGAGTTCGAGGCCAACCTGGTCTACAAGAGCTAGTTCCAGGACAGGCTCCAAAGTTACAGAGAAACCCTGTATCAAAAAAATCAAAAAAAGAAAAAAGAAAAAGAAAAAGAAAGAAAATTAAAAAGATTTTTTTTCTATTTCTTTCTTGAATTCTCAGCTCTGTGTGGCTGCCCTGTCCTCCTGGCTGGGTATCCACACTTGACAACTGGGCACAACAAGACTCTCAGGTCTCTCTCCTTCAGAGCAGCAGGGAGAGTCCTCCTTCCTACAGTGCTGAGGCAGGGGAGTAGTGCTTAATGTAGAAAGTCTGGGTCGTGCTGAGGGGGCAGCAAGGAACCGAAAAAATGGACCATTTATCCACCTGCAGGAGAAAGGTCATGAGTGGGTGTCCACCTTCTGTCTCTCCTGTCTGAGCTGAAGGGCTCAACGTGGATACCGAGGACCTTCTCACACCTGCGGTCAGTTTCTACATCCGTGAGAAGTGGGGAGTCCCACTTCACTGCCTGTCTCATGGGACAAGACTGTGAGGTCTGTGGGATGACGTCATCTGCCTGCGAGATGTCACCCCGTAGGCCCCAAATGTCTTGCTGAAGGGTAACCTTTGGGAAGCCGTGGGCGCCTGCTTACAGGCGTCTTAGTTTTCTCGCCCCTTCTGGTGGACCTGGCTGGGCTGGGCGGGCACTGCTTACCACATCCTCCTGATCCCCACCCCTTGCCTAGCCTCAGACAGACACCACAGCCTCTGCTGGTGACTCTGTGCATCAGGCGAGCACAGCTGTCTGCCCACTTCTCCTGTGTGTGCCTGACAGCTGCTTGCCTGTCTGACTGCAGGTCTGTCCATCCCTGGGGCGGCCAACTGGCCCCAGCCCCGGCTGTGCCCTGTCTTTGGCTGGCTGCCCCAGCTCTGCTGACGCCCTCTTTGTAAGCCCTGTCTAAATGCCCAGCTAGCCCTCAGCCCCAGGACTGTCTCAGTGGTGACTCCTTTAGATTCTGGACTTGCACCGGACTGGACCCCTGCCCACCTTCTTAAACCCACACCAACCACCATCACTCTGAGTCCCTCTGTGACTCCCATCCCCAGGAGGCCACCTGGTTGCCCCAGCCTGAGGAATGGCTTTCTGAGGAGGACCTTGAAGAAGCAGGTAAGTAGACTGTAGCCCTGTTTCTCCCTGAGCCGACGGTTCTCAGGCTTTTGCGTCGCACCGTGGTGGGACTCTGAGCTGTCCTGTGCCTGTGTCACAGCTGGGGCACAGAGGCAGAGAAGATTATATGCAATTAAACTTGGCAGAGTCAAAGATGGGGTCCCTTGTTCAGCTGGCTTAGAATGTCTGCGGGCTTTAGTGTGTGTGCTTGCAGGATGTTGGAGGGTTGTGGAAGCAGGGGCATGGCTAACATGATCTCTTGCCTGAGCAAACTGCCTGCAAGAAGTGGTGGGGAGAAGAAAGTGAGGTCTGGATGGTAGCTAGTCTGCCGAAAGTGGGTCGTAGGAAGGAGCATTGGGAAGCTTCCATGGGGGCTGTTTTGTTGGGAGGGCATCAGAGATGACCAGCCACTGTGGTTTATTACTTAAACTCCATTTAACCCTTTCCAGGTGGGTGGGCTGCCTACTTCACAGATACGGAGACCTGGCTCCACAGGGGAAGTATGACTTTCCTTATGGGACTCGCCAGGATATGGCAAGGTGGGCAGTCCAACCAGGTGCTGCCTTCCAAATCCAGGGCATGGGTCACATGGTAACAGACAACACTTCTTACATGGGGAGGAGAGAGGAGTCTGGAGGTTGTTGGAGGCCTAGCCTGGAAGGATGGAGAAGGAGAAGGCAGAAGGGTTGAGTGGAGAAGCCATAGGAGATAATGTCTGTACTTAGGACTTGCCAAAGGGACCACAGCAGGTCACAGAGGCATGGGAGTGTCACAGGCAGCTCCTCAGAGAATACCTATGCTCTCCGAGGCAGCCTGGGTGTGAGAGCACATGTTAGGCTTTCTAAGTCTCACTGGAGAACCTGGGCAAGTCTCGCTGCTTCTTCCAGCCTTCTGGGTCCTTGTTTGATGCATCTGTGAAATGGGGAGCAAGTGCCTCTATCTCTGTGAGGCTGTTTAAGACTCCAGGACGTCAGTGTCAAGACTATGCCTTCAGGCGTTCCCACTCCCAGGCACCTTGACCTATGGAGGAGGAGGACTAGATGCTGGGAGCTACAGAGAGTGCAGGAAAGGCTAGAACAGCCTTATCTACAGAGTTGTAGGCACTTAGGGACCTCCCAGAATCCTCAGAGCCCAAGTGAGGCCAGTGGTCCCACAAAGTCCAGTGTGTAGATGGTAATGCTGGGCTCCTTGGGGACATACCTGTCCTTGGGTTAAGAGTGTTGGGGAGAGTCAGAACAGAAATTGGAACCCGGCCTATATGGTGGATGACACCCCTTGGGAAGACTCACAGCCTGGAACACCTCCTCAGGTCCTTCCTCAGAGGGCACATGGCCATGTGATCACCACAGTGGGGTGCTCTCTGCAATAGCCCTGCCCTAGAGCTGTGGTCTGGTCCTCACTGGGCCTCACAGAGAGAATGATAGAACCCCTGCCTGCCGGGCAGGGGAGATTGGTCCCTCGTCCAAGGCTTCCAACGTGCCCATCTCTAGAGGCCACTTCAGGCTTCTTTGGCCTGAGAGAGGGAGATGAGAGTTGGCACCATAAGGGGCGTCTGGCACTGGAAGGTAGGTGGCTGCTGGTAAGGAGAACAGCGTGGAAAAATGGATGAGAGGCAGGCAGGCTGTGTGCTCGGAGGAGGGCTTTCCTTACTGTCCCAGGACCAAGCAGCACCACACAGCCATGAGAAGGAGGGGCGTGCTTTCTCCCAAAGCCAGGCTCTGTGCATGGCAGGGAGGAGGGCAGCCATAGCCAGTCAGTGCCCTCGACAGGGGAAGGCCTGAAGGGACTCACAGCCGGCCAGCTGGAGATAGCATCTGGTTTTCTTTAATTACTAGGTGTCCTCCTTGTTGCCGCTAACAACAAGGGAAGGTTCTTTCTCTGTGCCACCCAGTCTGGTTCAAATTTGTGATTCTCCCGTCTCAGCCTCCTGAGGGCTGGCATTACAGGTGTGTGCCACCCACTGTACCACAGGGCTCTGTGGTGCTTCAGCACCTGCTAAAGAGAAAACTGAGACTGGGAAAGTTAAGGTGGTTTTCAAGGACCACCCAGGGAGCCCCTAGAGGGGCTTTGTCCCATGGAGGTGGGACAAAGGCTCCCCCAAGGAAGGTGTTCTCACCCTGGCCGCCTTTCCTTCAAATGCTGGTCCAGGGCCCCAGAAACATGAAGTGGGGGGAGCTGGGAGAGGCCCCACCCACAGCCCACAGCTTGCAGGTGTCACCCCCTCCCCCACCACTCTGGCCCAGGACGAAGGGACTTTTCGTGGCGACTCAAACAGAAGCGCTGAGTAAACTTGGAACTTCTGAAACAACCTGAGAATATTCCCTGGCCGGGGCCCCTGAAGGACATCTGTACCAGGGCCTCAGCCTGCTGCTGTCCCTGCGGTCCCCAGGGAGGGTCAAAACATAGAACTGTCCCGGGAGGAGGGGCAAATGCACGTCCTGGCTCCCCCTCATGCCTCAACCTTCTTCACTGTGTGGCCGCAGATAGAGCTCTGAGCCTCTCTGGGCCTTCGCTCCTTGATCCGCTAAGTAAGTTTGGTGTGAGGACCAAGACTGAAGCCTCCCAATTCTGTCCTGTGCGGATTAAAGGCTCAGGCCTCCATCAAGCCAGGGTGGCCTGTGGAGAACGGCGGGGCTGATGCTGTCTCGGCCCAGTTCTCTGCTGGAGCTTCAAGCAGTCATGCTTCAGACCAGCCCCTGTCTGTGAGCCGCAGAGAGAGGAGGGACCCCGGAGCAAGGCTGCAAGAATACTCGATTTTGCTCAGGTTGTCCAGGCTGGAGGAGGTTCTGGCGCATGGAGCCACACAGCCACTGGGGTGGGTAGGGGCAGGTCCTTCCTCATGGCCAGCTGCCACCCACCAAGCCTGATGGCCTCAGCTGTAACACAACCCACCATGCTGGGAAAGACAGGCACGGGTAAACACAGCTGCAGCGTGCCTACTTCCTTGCTTCTTGCTTGAAGCACAACTGCTGAGCCTGGTCTACAGATGTACAGAGCTGAGATCAGACAAAGCAAAAGAAGGTGGCTGAAGACCCAAGCAAGGGGGTCAGAGTTCTCTTCTGGTCCAGGCCTGCTAGTCTCATTCATCCACCTGGAAACTCTGTTGAACGGAGCCTGTGGTGTGCCATCTCTGAATATCCTCGGTCGTGTCTAATCTGAGGACAATCTTCTCTATCCGACTTTAGGAGCCAGGATTGCTGCCCAGGGCGTGTGCGTGTGACGGGCGGGGGGCGGGTACTTCCTGGGGATAATGACAAAGCTGATGGGAAAACTGGGTCTCCCGGGACTGCTCAGTGGCTGTTCCATCGCGTGGCCCCCATTCATCTGTTCACTCATTATCGATGCGTTCTGCACCCTATTCTGCCCACGGGGGATGTTGTGGTGAAGAAAGCTGGTGATTTGCCAACCTCTGGGACCTGATGTGTCCAGACAATGATGGGTCTTAAAGACAAGATGGAGGCAGTCACCGTTCTGATATTACGACAGCTATGAAGAGGGCCAGAGTGGACCCACTTCCAAGGAAGCAGGCAGTCTCTTTGGAGGGCGACCCTGAAGTTGAAATCTGGGGGTGAGGCTACAAAGAAGCCGGGAGGGGTGGGGGATGGAGTTTTAGCAGAGCAATTACATGTGCAAAGGTCCGGAGATAGGGGATATTGGAGCACTGATGTTCCTACCCTACAGAAATGCAGAGGCTTTCAGTGTCTCAGCTCACTGAATTTAAGAAACAAGAACCCAAGAGAGTCAATTTAACATTGGAGTGCACAGGCTGCATGGTTCTTCCCCAAAGAAAGGGACCCCTGTCATTTAGCCCTCTGTGCAACTTGTGTGTGCACCTGCTGTGTGTGAGGCAGGGCTTAGCCACAGGGGGCTCGGCAGGAACCAAGCCCATGTGGTTTCTGCTGGGTTGTTGCTTAGAAGGTGAATGGAAACGGTGTGGTGGGGGAACAGAACCCAGAGGAAGAGGTGACTCACTCTCTTTGGAGAGATCAAAGAAGACAGCCATGACATTTGAACTTAGCTTTGAAGACCCAGTAGGAGGCTGACAGTCAGGGAGCACAGAAAGTTCCAATGACTGAAAGTTCCAGGTGTGAAGGGTGAAAGCCGGGCGAAGGCGACTTATGAGTGAGATCCTGGCAATCTGGTGTGCTTGGAGCCCAGAGCAAGCCATGAAGGGGTAGTGCGTGTGTGCGTGCGCGTGCGTGCGTGCGTGTGTGTGTGTGTGTGTGTGTGTGTGTGTGCTAGGCTTTTCTCTGCAGGTCTAGGTGGGACTGTGGAATGATGTGGAGGGAGCACGGGTTGGAGGACATAGCCAGAGACTGGGGACAGCAGCAGACAGGTGGGACAGTCCGTGCCTGGAGGAGCCAGAGGTCCCCCCTCTGGTTCCCCCTTGGGAAGTCCCTAAACAGACACACTTCTCCTTCTGGTGACCTGCTGGCTCTTGCGCATGGCTCTTCTGGGGAGTCCCTCTGCGCCTGCCCCATGGCTCCTCTGTCAGGGTAGGGATGGGACATTTTACTTTCAGAATATTTTCACCTTTCACTTTCAAGCCTGTTGCTCCCACCTCGTTTATCATGAGCTGAACACAGCCTGAAATGGATCCAGTCGATTCCATTCCTTGACCGTTAGTGGGAACAGGGCAGGGAAACCAAGAACTCAGAGTCTTCCAGTTCAGGGGAGGTGAGATGTGTGCCGTGAATGCACAGGTCTGGTTAGGTCACATGGGGACTTTGCTTCTTGGCACAGAACCTTGAAGTGAAGGCGCTGGGACCCACGTGGCAGGTTGCCAAGGCAGTCCCATCAGTTCATACCTTCACTCAGTGTAGACTCTGAGGATGCAGAGAAACCATGACAAGGACTGACTGTGGGTTCTTCCCCCGGCGCTCGGAATTCTTTTCTGTTTTGTGTATCAGGTAAACCGAGCAGTGCACACACGTGTGGAGGTCAGAGGTCATTGCTGAGTTCCTTTCTCCATTGCTGTCCATTTTGTTGGTTGAGACGGG